ATCTATCCTAGCGCGGCATCTGGCATATAACAAGTAAACAGCAACTTTTCATTGAATGAATGGCTGCATTAATCATCTAAATATTCATTTGTTATCTTTCATAGAGAAGGTGGAAACCCTTCTAAATCTGTTTTGTTGTTGGCTCAGTCCCTGTCCTGTTATTTCTTCTGAATAAACACCTCCAGGTTTGTATCATATATTCTGGTGCGTTCGTGTTGGTGTTTGGTAATCGCCAGGCCTCGCCTTGCTGAACTGCATCTGTCTCCAGTTTTGCAATTTCTCAATGACGTGTATCAGCAGAAGGCATCTTGCTCATTAATAGAGCCATCACTTGTTCTGGTTAAAACCCACATTCTTCCTCAAGATACATTTCTGGAGAGAATAAACAGATTTTGCATCTAACAGGGATTGAGATAGGAAAAAATTGTTGTTCTTCATTACTAATTTGAGTTTGCAAATTAGCACTGTGAATTTCAGCTGACGCTTCAAAGCCGGAACATTAGCCAATGAATATTGACTCTGGCTGGTGTCCGAATTTCATCTGATGCACTCTGTTTGGGCGGCCCTATTGGTAAGTCTGCTCTGTGCGATAGCCATGCCTTTGCCATTGTTCCTGCCCCAGTTGGCTCTGTCCCTAGGGAGCATCATGGACCTGAGGCCTGCTTCTCAGAGGGTGCTGGGTTGGGATGCAGATGGAACTTGTTGCGGTCGTGGATATGTTAAAGAAAATAGACTTGCTGGCCCAACAAGCAGTAAATCTCTTGGGCCCTAGAGCAGGATCATTTCTAGCCCAGGCCTTGCTTGGCTCCAGAACATCAGCATCACTCCAGGAAGGAGAGGCACAGATCCCTGTGGGAATGCAGACTTTGGTTCTGGAAGATTCCATATGCAGAGAGTGGATTCGTTTTTACAGAAGATATGACTTTTACTGTGTTTCCTTTCCTACTCTACACAATGACAGTTGGACAGGCTCCTATCAGCGTTGCAGACGCCCGTTCTGTGACCCGCAAAGGCATCTGGGAGGTGGTGGAATCGTCATGCCGCTGCCTGCTGTGCGTGTGTTCTGTGAGACTGAAATTGAATTAAAGACCAAAAGCTCAGCATGCTTATGTAACTCTGAAGCACAAGGGACTTGAGCCCAAAGAGGGGCTAAATTCCACTGAAAAGCATACCGCATAACTGGCTTGTACCTGAAAGCTTGGTCTGTGGTCCCCACTTCCCAAGGATGTGGCAAGTGGCCAGAGCCCCTTCGTGCTGCGAGCAGGCCGCCTGTAGCCAGAGGCAGAGGGATCCGGCCGGCCTCCATGTCTCCACTGGTTTTATGGGCATATTTCTCACACCCTGTTCTGCTATTATAAATAAAATGAGGCTTACATCACATGTCTCAGACTGCAAGACCCATTTCCTTCTAATAAGCTCCTTGTTTGCCTGGGCTTTCCCTACCCTGGAAAGATGAAATCTCCAGAGGCTCCTATTATGGATTTCTAGTTTTGTACTTTTCTTTTCCTCTCTGCTGTTTTGAAAGAAAATGAAGTTAGTGAGCTTTGTCTGCCTCTGCCCGCGCACACACACACACCTCTCTACCTGGGAGCCAGGAGCAGATATTCTATGCAAACAGAGAAGGACAGCTTTGTCCCACTTACCTGGAGGCCACAGAAGACAGAACTCTGAGCTGATATGTACCTGCCCTGTCCTGTCCCAGCTGGAGCAGGGCAGGCCTGAATAGGTGCTGCAGACAGGGCAGACTGTGGGGCTTCAAGGCCTCGAGGGCACATGTCCGTTCACAGCAGGGCAGTTCTGGAGTCACCCCTGTCTGAGGTCTGACTTCCCAAATCCAGTAGCCCAAGGGTGCGGCAACTCTGGGAGTAGCCCAGGCAGCTGGCTGGGCGTCGGTAGGCACACCCACCAACGCCTTTATTTCCAGGCCAGGTTCTCAAACACCCCAACTAGGCCCCCCAGGGGTGTCCAGTGTAAGAATACAGGCTCATTCATCAGTAAGATCTAGGGCATGCAGAGGGACCACACGAATGAGGCCAGGCCCTCAACAGGAGGGGACCTCCCTCTCAGAGTGATGGCAGCAGCCCAGAGAGTTCAGGATTGAGTCAGAGGGATGAGAAGTATAGATGGTGCCTCAGGAAAAGAATGGTCCAGAGAACAAGGGGTGGGGTGCAGCCTGCAGCTGGCCATTCGGCTGGCCCACTTGGGACCCTGACCTTCTGGGACCCTGCCATCATCTGACATCCTCTACTGTTGCATGGTATGTGCCACCCCCAATGTAAAACTCTACTATAGAGGCTGGAAGGAGACCAACCCAATGCATTTTTCAGATGGCTGAGGGAGGAGCCTGCCCCGGTCCAGAGTAGAGCCAGACTGACTTCCCTGTGGGCTAACTCCCACCTCAGGAGACCCTGCCTCTGCAGCCGCCTGCCCTCGGCATCTGGGCTCGGGCCGTGTGAGGCTGTGATCTCTGCCCCAGCGTCCTTGAGGGCTCTGTGACACGACCTCAAGCTGAGCAGTGGCTTTAAGCTCTTTTCGGCCACCCGGGACTTGGTAGGAAAAACATATGGCATGCTTGGGCATGTTTCGTTGATGAGAAAAGCCTCAAAATGCAGACAAACTCCTTGCTTCAGAATTTGGACTGGACTAAAATTTTTTCTATATCATCAACGGAAAAAAGAAGGGTGTTTGAACGGCAGATTAATAGGGTATGAAAGAGAACACAGGCTTCCTGTTCTTAAACATTTTAACGATGTCCACGGATCCACAGAAAGGGGTTGGCAGGACCTTAGGGATCCTTGTGGCCAAACCAGCTCATTTTACACATGAACGAACTGAAGCTTCCGGGTTTGGCTGCAGACCTAATTAGCTAATACTCCTGGCTGGGAGCCTAGGGTCCCTGCTCACAGGCTGGTCTTCTGTCTGCTGGAGCCCACATTTATTCACAGAAAGCATTCAGCATGCTCAATTAGTATTGACAATGAATTTGCTACTAATATATGATCCTTATGTATTCAGACCCATCATCCATTGAACAGCTGTCTGTCTAGCGCCTCCTTCAGAGTGTGGGTGGGAACGTACACAATGAATGAAGAGTGAGGAGCTTACAGCTCAGAGGAGAAGCCACGATTTCTGCACCAATCATTGTATTTCTAGATGGGACGTGCTAGATGTCATGTAAAAGGAATGAATGACCTGCTGAACAGTCAGCAGAAAGTGAGGTAAATTTGGCTATGGTGAGCAAAGCTGTTTTTGTGGAATACACAGCACCTGACTTGGCCTTGAAGGCCTGAGATGATTTGGGCAGGTAGAGGAAGGCAAGGTGTTTCAGGTGGAAGTACTAGATGGGATAGTGTAGTAGTCTGAAAAACAGCCCCCAAAGGTATCAGCTTCTCATCCCTGGAACCCGTAAATGTTACCTTGGAAAAAGAGTTATTACAGATGTCATTAAGTTAAGGATCTTGAGATGGGGAGGTTATCTTGGATTATTGGGCGGACCCTAAATGCAATCACAAGTCTCCTTATAAGAGGGAAGCAAAGGGAGATCACAGACAGAAGAGGAGAAGGCAATGTGACCACACAGGCAGAGATTGGAGTGATGCGGCCTCAAGCCAAGGAATGCCGGCAGCCACCAGAAGCTGGAAGAGGCAAGAGATAGATTCTCCCCTAGAGCCTTGATTTTGGTTTGGTGATACTGAATTCGGACTTCTGGCCTCTAGACTATGAGAGAATAAATTTCTGTTGTTTTAAGCCACCATGTTTGTGGTGATTTGTTACAGCAGCCACAGGAAATTAATATAAATAGGAAAGGGAAATAGTGCGGTTCAAGGTAATTGCTGGGAGCATATTCAGATATTTAGAGAAGTGGTAAGTAACTGGGTTAGGGCAGTGTCTGGTATTAGTTTGAAGAGTTCCTGCAAGTTTCTGTCTGGATCTCGCCTTCCCGACTGAAGTCTAGGGCTCTGGAGGAGAACCACGATGCCCAGTGGATGGCTGTTCTATCTCTGTGTCCTAACTCCCATGCTCCTCAGGTATAGGCAGCCAAAACTTGTGGAATGGCATGATGAATGTTGGCGGCTGCCACACCTGGGTTTGCACCGGGTTTATTGATGAAAAGTCAAAGCAGGCCACAAGCCTGGTGCTCAGATACGATTGACGAACCTGTCATCTTCAGACTGTCATCACGAATTCCCCGTGTCGTGCTTCGCAGCAGTGTGATGTGTTAGGAAAGGCTCAGCCAGCCCAGGACTAAAGGGCAGGGGCTGTGGAGGGAGGGACTCGGGTGGAAGGCAGAACTCCTGTGGTTAGGAGGCTGGGAGCTCACCTGTGGGTGAAGCGGCCTCATTGATAGCCGAGTCCGAGTCTGTGCCGGTCCCGAGAGGGTGTGATTAAACATTCTGGTAGGCTTTGATGACACTCTTATTGATCTGAGGTTGTTTATAGCCATAAAGCGACTGTAAATTAGAGGAATGAAATAAAAACAGCAGGATACTTAACTCTGGTCCTCCTATGAGGTTGAGAAAGCTTTCCGCACAGCTCCTGCAGAGGCAGGAAGCTGAAATACACATCTGCAAAGGGGAATCTCATTCTCCTGTCCTCCTAACAGCCAAGTTAAGCGGCAGCTTTCTTCTCACAGCTGAAACCTAATCCTCATTCTTGCCCAGGAGGTGTCCTTGGTTAACACGATTCTCTGCTGGGACCACCGTCTAATTGTGTGCCTCCCATAGGGTTTTAGGATGCTCACGGCCAGTTTCCTCTTCCTTCCAAAGCTGTTTTTCCTTTTTTAACTCCTCTTCTCTCCTCCCCTTCTCTCTCTTCTTTTCTTTTTTTTTTTTCCTTCCTTCTTTTGTTTCTCTTTTGGCCGCTCATTTATTGGATTAAAGGGTTTTGGCTTATGAGTATTTGTAAAGCATTAGGAGCCTTCAGTAGACAGTCACCAATTAATTTCAATGCAATAGACCAAGCCATGTGACCATTGGACTTTCTTTGCTTTCCCCTTGTAGAAATCCGAGAGGCCTTTCGGGTTCTGGACCGAGATGGGAATGGCTTCATCTCCAAGCAGGAGCTGGGAATGGCCATGCGCTCTTTGGGGTACATGCCGAGTGAGGTGGAGCTGGCCATCATCATGCAGCGCCTGGACATGGACGGTGAGCCCCAGGCCGGCAGCGGCTCCCCTGAGCGAGCCCCGACTTGTCAGCGAGACCTTGGGTTTCAAAGGGCCTTGCACTTGGACTCAAAAGACTTGGGTTCATGTCTTGGTTAACATTTGAGGAGTGGAAACGTGGACTAGATCAAGGTTTTTCAAACAGCATTCCATAGAGCTGTAGGGGCCTGCAGAGGTGGTTCTGGGGCCGCTAGAGGGAGCAGGGTGAAGAAGGCGGCCAGTCTGCTGTAGTTTTGTTTTTTTTTTTTTAAAGACAGCTTTATTGAGATAGAATTCACACACCATAAAATTCACCCATTTAACCGGTACAATCCAATGGCCTTTAGTGTATTCACAGATTTGTGCAGCCAATGCCATAGTCAATTTTAGAACATTTTCAACACTCCAGAAAGAAACCCTGCACCTCTTAGCCATCACCTCCCAATCCCTCCCTCCCCCCAAGCTCTAGGCAACCACTAACCTCCTTTCTGTCCCTATGAAGTTGCCTCTTCTGGGCGTTTCATATAAATGGAATCATACAATATGCATAGCTTTGTGACTGGCTTCTTAGCATAGTGTTGGCAGGGTTCATCCTGTAGCATGTATTAGTGCTTGGTTCCTTTTTATAGCCAGATCATATTTAATTGCATGGATATAACAGCTTCTTTTCTGTCTGTTATACATACTGGGTTTCTCCATACAATCCCATTGGGGAAAAGGGTTTCACTGTATTTACAAAGTTCTAAAAAATGACATGTTAGATCTTTAAGTTTCTTTCCTGCTCTAAAATCCTAAGGATCTATCCCAAACCAGCTGTGACCTACCTGACATTTAGATCCTGCCTTGGCTGAAGGTCCAGGAAGGAGCCTTCTTATTTTTTTTTTTTCAACACATGTTCTCCCACTCTGAAAAGCAGCTTGATTCCAGGCATAAGGAAAAGGGGTCTAGAGTCACGGGCTTTGAGGACTCTCGGGTAGAGCATGAAGTACAGACGAAGAAAAAGGAAACAGAGGAAGAAGCAGGAAGTCTTGCAGATGAATAGACCAAGGCCATGGAAGGGAGATGTTTGCTTGGCCTGCGGGCTGATTGGAAGAACACAGCTCTCTCCTGTTATCTTGCTGGGCTTGTTGGAAGGATGATAATAAGGATGACCATATGGTGAATGAACCCAGTGCCAAGTACCAAGTGCAGCTGTGGACATTCATTTTCTGGTTCAGGGCAGAGATGTTTTATCAGGGATGTTCAGTTTGAGCAGTCCCAGCCTTGTCCTTACAAGTCTGATTGATTGTGACTCATCCTGTCTTTGCAGGCCAGATTTGACCTTGCCCTGTATTTTAGAGGTATTTCTGAAAAGCTAGAGCAAAGTACACATTGTATAGCAAAATCTCTCTTCCATTGACTCCCATCATCATTTCGGAGATATATTTCCAGAAAAAAAAGTTTCCTCCTTAATGTAATAGAAATCTTAATCTATACCTCTGTTTATGGAACTAAGAAGGTTTTGTGCTTTTGACTCTCCTCCCACAACTCCTATCGTAAAACCTAGTCAAGTGGACTAAAGCAAATGGGCTTAGCAACATTTACCAAAAATGAGCTGGGGCTGTTTTGGGAGAGTTGATGAGATTTAAGGGTCTTCATCAAAGTCCATCCTTGTTCTTTGTATATTCACTCATTGCACCCCGGCTCATGGGGAATTTTCACATTATTGCAAATCCTCCCTGATCTCATGACTTGGTGTCCCACGGGACCTTGCTGTTATTCAGGGGGCTCATCAGGACTCAGGCAAAAGCTCCATCTGCGGTGCAGTTTAAGAGACTTCAAGTTTCACCAATTTATTTGCAACTTATCACACTCAGCTACCAATGCTGAAGGCAGAGCTTATATGCAAATCTTGTAGAGAATTTCTCTTAGTTCCTTTAACAAAAGCCCAAGTCATCAGCTGTTTCACGGTGACCCCATCAGGTGAACACACATTTATTTACTTTTGAAGTGCTGCTCCCTAGAATTTTGTTGCCTACAAAAGATTTAATACAGAACATATGAAAACAATGCAGCAGTGTGGGCAAAAGAAATTGCCTACACAATTTATTAAATGCCCAAGTGTGAAAAGAGCTATGTGAAAAATGTCCAGTCTGAGGCTGAAATGCTTGTCTTGAAGTGCTTCGTAAATGATGCTGTTAAGTGAAACTTCCAGGGTATTGGGTTCTGGATATGGATGGACTGACTGTTTTTCAGTGTCCTTCGCATAATGAGGCCTTTTGAGCTGTTCTGTTAAAAAAAAAAAGTCAAGTTGTCATTATATCCTTCCTTCTCAGCTTCTGTAACTGGGGATCCTCCACAGAGATTCGGCTCTACCTAATTAAGCTTCTCTTTGGCGTGAAACTTGTGGAATGGCAGAGATTTTTATGGGGATGATGCCAAAAAAAGGAAATAAAAGGAGTGTTTGGGCTGGAACTTAGGATTCTTGGCTGTAAGATGACTGTTCCTCCTGGCCCACAGACCCTGATATCCAGAGGTGACAGGAGAGGTGGCGGTGCCTCCATCCATCCCAGCTGGCCATGATTAGGAGCAGGTCTGGCCCACACACCGATCTTCTCTTTCTGGGGTCCCTGCTGGTTTGCCTGACGGTGAGGTCACAGCTTGGGCACGATGCCCAGCTGCGTTTAGCCTCAGTGTGTCTGTGCAACCTAAGTCGACACATGAGACTTTCATTAGGTGGTTCCTTGGGAGTAGGTGCCTTGCTGGCTATGCATGTAATAGGAACCTCCCTGGATTAGGGAGCTCAGCAGGATTTCCTGGAGAGGGAGCCTGCAGCAGCCAGACAGTTCCAGTCTGTGTGTGGAGCTGGTTTTCCAGGGGACAGAATGGGAGACAGGCAGTGGGGTCTGAGATTGCTTTCCTGGCCCGTGGCCAATTTGCCTTCAGTGCTGGGACTGCCTCTGCGTGTGTGTGTGCACAGCATGGGCTGAACTACTCAGAGTTAACTAAATAGAAAACCAAAACTTCTGGCTAATGCCCAGGGCTTCCTCTTTGGCCTGTTACTGCGAAGGCTCTTTCTTGGAACTTTAACTCAATTCCACACTCCCTGATGTTCAGTGTCCCACTTCTCTTTTATCAGCCTCTGTAGCTGAGGGGACTTTTGCCCTAACACCAGTTGGGGACCAGGATTCACCTTTCCTGGATGCTTTTCACCAGGATCTCTCCATGAGCCCAGATTCTGGAAGCCTATACCCTCTCAGTCAGGCTCCTGGGGACATTTAAGCCCGGTGCCCTAAGGCACTCCTTGCATGTTGGGAATCAACTTCTCTCCAATGCATCACGGTACTAGCTATGCACCAACCTTGGAAGAACTGATAAAAGAGTCACCCAACATCTCCAAAGCTTACATATTCTATAGAAGCAGGCTGAGAAAGGCTGCTTGAAAGTGACTGCAGACTGTGCCACACTCTATCTCCCCTCAGCTCTGTGGTCCCTACAGCAGCTCCTGGGACCCCACAGAGCTTCCTGCATCATTCACTGGGGAATAAAGGCTTGGTATCTTCAAGACCCAAGGGATATTTTTGACTGCTTTCTACATTGCAATGATTTTATCATCCACACCACTATGGCCATTTGGAGTGAATCCAGCTAGCTTTGCAAATAGTTTCCTGAAGCAATCAAACCAGGAGTCGTTCTCAGCAGCCCACGGCCTTTGCATCGCCTGCGCACATTTCCTCATGCGATCCTCTGCTATTGTAAGCTGCCCTCTCCTCTCCTGCACTTAGAGAACAAAGTCTCTCTTTGAAACAAATGCAGACCTTGTCCCCTGCCTCCTTGATTTTCCTTCTGCTCCTCAAGGATGCAGAATCTCGTGAAATTCCAAGAAATTGGGGTTTTGAAATGAATTCTTATCTCTCGACAGGATTGTAGTTTTTTCAGGTTCAAACTACCTGGATGGTGAATTTGATTCAGTCTAGTTCAATTTAAAGAGGATTTATCTGGTGTCCGTTATGTGTGAACTTGCTTGTTTTTACGGTTGGCAAGATTAGCTTTTGGTTCGTTTTGAGACAAACCACTGAGCTATGAAGCACTAAATTACGGCCAGAGTCACGTGAAAGAGTGAGCAGTGTCCCCGTTGTTAATCTGTGTGTCCATACCTTCCCTCTCTCAGCTACCTGTTCATTACAAGCATTAAGCCTTTTCTGATTAGTCATATGATTATGACCTTTCTGTTTTCATTTGTGATCTCCTAGAAGACAGAAAAGTACAAGCTTAATTCCAAGTAGCGCTCACTTCCGCTTCACATTCAAACTCATCAGCGTACTGATGTGGATGCTCTGGGACTGGCGTAGGTCTGTTTTGTGAGCCAGAACGCACACTTCTTTCCTATGTGTGAGGGGAGACGCTCACCCACAGACTGCACGACGTGGAACCGCCTGGTGGGAGGTGGGAGCAGTCAGGGCTTTTGAGCCTAAAGCAGAGGTTCCGGAACCTGAGTGCACGTAGGAAAACAGCTGGGGGAACATTCTAAACAGTCTGGGAGAATCAGAATCCCCAGGGTGGGGCCCAGGAGCCTGCATCCTTTAACAATCCCAGTAGGTTGTAGACAGCAGTGTGTCCATTCACAAAACTGGGGGACCTTTGGTTAAAAGAAAAATCTAAAGCTAAGGGGAAATCTTCAGGCCTGTGAATATTTGTATGAGCAAGAAGGTCTGAGTAGGAGGGAACTGCCTGAAAGGCAGATAAGGAGCTTTTCCTTTGGGAATTTGATGAAGGAAGCGGAGTCTGTGCTTAGTAGTTGGTCAGCTCTGCCTGAAAGCAGGAGGCACTCCCCGTGCTCGGCTTCCTTGCTTCTCCAGCTGTGGTCCAGGGACCTGCAGAATCGAGGTCACCTCGGAGCTTAAAATGCTGACTCTCAGGGCCACCCCTGGTCTGCTGATTCAGAGCCTGCATTTTAACCAGAGCCCCAGGTGATTCATATACACAGTAAAGTTTGAGAGGCGCGAGTCTAGGACACACCTTGAG